CAAGGTTCCCACAACTTTGCTGCAAGGTTCCCAGAAGCTTCCCACAACTTTGTCCACTTTGCTTCCAGGTTCCTACAAGGTTCCCACAACTTTTTTGCAAGGTAAGGTTCCCACAACTTTGCCCCACAAGGATCCCAAGGTGCCCACAACATCGTTCCACAACTTTGCCCCACAAGGTTCTTCCAAGGTTCCCACAGCTTTGCTCCAAGGTTCCCACGAGGTTCCCACAACGTGGCCCCGAGGTTCCCACAAGGTTGGCGCAAGTTTCCCACAAGGTTCCCGCAAGGTTCCTAATCGACAGTCAAGGAAACGTCATCATACCTCACGTCTATTTCATTGTGCTTCCTACTGTTACCTTTTACCTTGCTAACCTTTTGGTATCCTATCCTCTTAGGTTCCTCCTGTTCTTCATTCGGGCCCCGAATCCACTTTCGGGGCCCGAATCCACAGTCAAGGACACCTCATGATATTTCAATTTCAAGTCTATTTCATTGTGCTTCCTACTGTTACCTTTTGCCTTGCTAACCTTTTAGTATCCTATCCGAATCGTTTTAGTTTCCTCCTGTTCTCCATTCGGGCCCCGAATCCGGCTTCGGGCCCCGAATCCGGTTTCCGGCCCCGAATCCATTTCGGGCCAGTCAAGGACACCTCATCATACCTCAGTTGTATTTCATTGTGCTTCCTACTGTTACCTTTTACCTTGCTTACCTTTTAGTATCCTATCCTCTTAGTTTCCTCCTGTTCTCCATTCGGGCTCCGAATCCGCTTTCGGGCCCCGAATCCGGTTTCGGGCCCCGAATCCGGTTTCGGAGCCCCAATCCACAGTCAAGGCAACCTCATCACACCTCAAGTCTATTCAATTGTGGTTCCTTCTCTTAACTTCCTAACCTTCTAGTATTCTATTCTCTTAGTTTCCTCCTATTCTCCATTCGGGCCCCGAATCCGGTTTCGGGGCCCGAATCGACAGTCAAGGAAACCTCATCATACCTCAAGTCTATTTCATTGTGCTTCCTACTGTTAGCTTTTGCCTTGCTAACCTTTTAGTATCCTATCCTCTTAGTTTCCCTTGCTAACCTGAAGAAAAAAGTGTTGCATTTTGCGCTTAAGCTGTTGGGGATATTCTTTGGGCTTATTTTTTGCAGCCGTTTCTGTTTGGAGCCATGACTGCACATTTCCACCGCTTCATTTGACTTTTATATAGAAGATGGTTTATGTTCATGGCAACGCTGCAACAATCAGAATCTTGATCAAGGCGTGTTTCCGAGAAGGTCGACCAAGATGCCGTCTCGAAATTGAGGCTTGGGAGTCGGAGTTGAGGTTGGCCCATGAGACTGACAGACGTATACAAACATCAGGTGGGAAAGCTGGAACGAACACCCCTGAAGTCCTGGCACGTGTTGGCATTCGCAGCTGTTGGTTCAATTCCCTTTGCTCGGCTGGGTTGGCCACATGAATGGCCATTCGCAGCAAAGCCGAAGCAGGTCGCCTTTGAAAGGGAGCCATGATGAGGCACATAGAAATTTGTAAGGATAATTCAACGATGTTGAAAGTCTGCAATGACATATCTAGGCATTCTATGGACAGACGGGCAAGAAGTTCTACGGTATATCTTTTGCCCATCAGGTGAGATGTGGACATTCTGCGCGAGATCTGTTGGAATGCCCCAAATTTCAAATTGGATATGCCTTTGATGACTTGATTTGCATGCCGGGCCACATCGATTTTGGAGTCCACGATGTCGAGCTGCTGTCCCGCTTCACGCGATCCATTTCTTTGAAGACTCCAATTGCATCCAGCCCTATGGACACCGTCACGGAATCGGCAATGGCCATCGCAATGGCTTTGGAGGGGGGAATTGGGATCATCCATTCCAAAATGTCCATAGAACGACAAGCTGCAGAAGTCAGGAGTGTCAAAAGATACGAGCAGGGCTTCATCAGCAATCCAGCATGTATCTCTGCAAAGATGACCTGTGGTGAGCTCATAAAGCTACAAGAGAAGTGTGGCTTTTCTGGCTTTCCTGTCACAGAAAGTGGCCAGATGAAGTCCAAATTGCTGGGCTTGGTCACAAAGCGTGATTCGGACTTTTTCCCTTCGGAATCCACGCTGATCGAAGATGCATGGCAGAATAACATTGTTGAGCCTTTTATAGCCTTTTGGAATACTGTAATTGGAATGCATGCCAACTTGCTAATTTGTTCCAAGGATATCATGACAAAGGCGGCAGACCTGATCACAGCCAAAGAGGGCATCGCATTGAGGTGAGATGCAATGACTTCTCGAGCTGTTTTTTAATCCTCTTTCAGACTCAGATTTTCACCTGCAAGGGAAGCCAATCAGATCTTGAGCAACTCCAAAAAGGGCAAGCTTCCGATCGTCAACCCTGCAGGCGATGTGTCAAAAGCCAACTTGACTCACAACTTTTCACCAATTAACTTATGTAAGTTTCCCTAAAAAGCTAGGAACCAAGTCATTAGTTATTTGTGCGAGCGCTTGCTTGAAGAAGCGTGAGCTATCCTGCGTCCATATGTAGAAGCTATAATAGCTTACTCTAGTAGCTTACTAGTCCCTTGCTTAATTCAGTAGGCAGGGGGGAGCGGGCAAAAGAAAGAATAACAACACATATTTATTCCTGCAGTGAACCAGTTTTGACAGGTGAAATCGTGGGCTTGCTGGCTCGAAAGGATCTCATTAAGAACCAAGACTTCCCCTGTGCGTCACAGGACCGGAGGTTTGCGGAAGGGTCAAAAAGCGGCTCCGAAAAGCTGGTCCATATGTGGTCAATGAAGTTGAGCCACCGTACCAAGGAACAGGGAACGCATGGACACAAGAAACAGCCTTTGTCAGGATCAAAACAAGAATTTGCTGGCGGCGGCTGCTGTTAGCGTTTTGGCGGATGACCGGAAAGAGCGTGTCAAAGCCTTGGTTGAAGCTGGCACGGATGCTATTGTATTCGACAATAGGCCGGTTGGCCAAACCAAGTTTTCAAACACAGGCAATTTGGCAGTACATATATATATAGATATATTTATGTATATATATATATATGTAAGTATAATATATAGAGTTGTCAATTGCTTTGAGAGGCAGGGGGACAATGAAGACCAGCTGGAAATCATCCGCTGGACAAAAAGCGAGTTCCCGAAGATGCAGGTCATTGGAGGAAATGTAGCCTCTTGGAATCCTACTAGCTACTAGTAGCAAGAAGCTGCTAGGTGGTGGAGGCCATCGCTATTAGGTTGGAGGCCATTACTACTAGTAACAAGAAGCGACTAGTAATATACGTTTTGTTGGGGAGGTTGTACCCCAGACAGCTCCTGCTGGTCGCACTCGCAGCTGTCGTCTTGAGTTCAACGACATATCTCAGCACTGGCATGATTTGTTCGTAGTCATAGTCTCTTGCAGTCCAATGAAATACAGAGCTCCACGAAGCAGGAATGGTATGAAGAAGAAGAAGAAGAAGAAGAAGAAGAAGAAGAAGAAGAAGAAGAAAACCTGTGAACCTCTCAACGACACAAACTGGCCACTAATACAGAAAACTTAGGGGTTTCGGTTGCCAACAGACTCCTTGTTTCAAAGACATCATAGCGACGTCAATTCTGAGCAAGACAGCAAGCATCCTGAGTTGAGCAACAGTAAGGTTACGCGAAGACAGGCAAAGAACCTGCTTGATCCTTGGCCTGCATTTGCTCCCACTTGCACCAAGGTTGGTCTTGCATTTTGTTACTAGTAGCGTTCTTGCTCCTAGTACTAGGGCCAGGAGCCCCTAGTAGCGTCCTTGCTCCTAGTAGCGATGCCCTTTGTCCCTACGTAGTAGCTTCTTGTTACTAGTAGTAAGGCCAGGAGCTACTAGTAGCATCCTTGCTCCTAGTACCGATGGCCTTTGTTGCTAGCAGCTTGTTACTAGTAGTAAGGCCAAGAGCTACTAGTGTCCTTGCTCCTAGTAGCGATGCCCTTTGTTCCCAGTAGCTTCTTGTTACTAGTA